AAATTTAATTTTTGCTAAAACTTTATAAGCTGTATATAACATTTGTATATCGTATTAAAGGCATTCATATTTCTATTGAATGACATCAAAAATTCTGAAATCCGTGCTTTTGTTTTTAAGATATTTGGATTTAAAAAAAATTATGAATTTGATCTTTGACCCTTGGTAACTTCTGTAGTTTTTGTTTCCCACCAAACAAAAAAAAAATATACCGTTATACTTGCTTCAAAAACCTCTATCGACGATCTTGTTCAAAATTTGTCGCCCGGTTATCGTAATCGTGCCAAATTAAGGACGAGACTTCCGGCAATATGAACTAATTATAAAACAGCAGTCGTTGACAAAAATTATTATCAGAAAGAGTTGGTAAAGTTAAGGCAAATGTCAGAAATAAATTACAATAAAACAGCAAAGACTTTAAAACCTGTACAGACAGAAGAGCATGTAATGTACAAAAAATCACCTGCATCAGTCTGGTTTCATGGTATAATCACTGATAGTACTAATGAACCAAGATCTTATGTGGTCCAAGATGCAGATGGTAGTTTGTACAGAAGAAATAGGGAACACATTTTGAAGAAACCAACTTTGAAAAAAGAATTACAAAATGTACATTTAAGAAATGAAAATTACGAAAATGATCAATATGAAAATGTACAAAAAACTATCGATACTGAAAACGTAGGCATTGAAAATGAAATCACATATGTAACCAGAAAAGGAAGAAAACTGGTAAAGCCCCAAAGATTGGAGTTGTGAACTGAATTTTTATTATTTAAAGTTATTGTATGTATATGTAGGTCAACTTCGTATTCTGTTTGTATTGATTGGAAACCACTGAAAAAGGAAGATGTTGTATAGTCCTCTTTCCGACACGTTAAGTCTTGAAAGCAATTTTTTTCGAATTCTCCTTTGTGTTTTATATTTGCTTCCACACGCGTCAACTTTAATTGAATTTAAGTCCTTGGTTCTTTAAATAGGAAGCAACGAAAAGATCAAGAGACACGAAAACTTCTTCTCACCACCTTCGCCTACGAACGAGCAGACTTGAAAGCAAGACTTGACGTGTCTGAAAGGGAACAAAAATTAAGATCTAAACATACTATTATGACTCGTTACTCTTTACTTCTACTTAACGCAACCCTGTTACTACTATTATATTATATACTTGGTATTGGCTTGTCGTCAAGTTCCACTAACGGCAGCCCTAAGAAGCGTGCAGCCTCGATAGGGTCAGTCCACAAGGACAAAAGCGTTAGGGTTGTAGGGTTTTACGGGCATACGAAGAGATGTTTCGAGTCGTGCTGGGTCCCTCCGCATGTCGGACAATCATTTGGCACATCTGCGTTTAATCTGCTCAGGTATGAGTTTAACCTGCTGCAGTAGCCAGAGCGAAGTTGGGCTATTGTGGTTCTTGTCTCCCGAGGGAGATGAAGCTCCGTCTCGTCAATGTCCGGTGGTTGTGTGCNATGTATATGTTAAATATTTCGAGCTCAACATCGCCTGACCGCATAGCAATGCCCTGGCATTCTTGGGTGGTATCCCTGCGGTCGATGTCTGCTTCGATAAGACGATACTGCACGGTGTGGTGCGTGATGAACGCTAAGCCACCACCATTATCTCGCTCGCGATCTCGATGGTGCACGTTGTAGCCGGCACAGTTCAACAAAGTTGAATTGCTGTGCAACTTCGTTTCTTGGACCGCAGCTATCAATATACCATGCCGCCACATGAAGACGGTTATCTCCTCAATCTTGCTCTGTAGCCCGTTGCAGTTAAATTGAAGGAGCTTCATGTGGTTCGGGAGACGTGTCGTGATGTGGGGTGTAAGGGATGTGTGTGTTCTTACCGCCGTTGCCTGTGTGCGCTGCTGTGATGGTTGCCGCCCTGTGGTGGTGGTGGGCGGCGTCGCAATTGACGGTTGCGACCATGCAGCGCAGCACGGTCCCTCGAAGTTCCTCGTCCAATCTCGCGTGGTGCGCAGTCCTGAACATGCCCTAAAGTGGCACCAGCAAAGGCAGGTGTTGCACTTGACTGTTGTCACATTACGGAATATCCTGGTCTGACATACCGTGCAATTGTAGGAGGAACCAGAAGTTGTTGACGGCGGCGTGTGGGTGGTGGTGCGGTTGAATGTGGTCTGTGGTCTGTCGTGGTTGTGTGCTCTATTGTGTTGCTGTGTTGTGGTGCTGTGGTGTTAGTGTGGAGCTGCTCAGGAGGACTTATATTTTCCCTGGAGGCTGCTCTATTTGAGCAGCAGGGGGCCACGAACGACGTGGTCCACTGCCGGTGTGTCCGTAGTCCTGGGCAGACTCTGAGGTGACTCCACCCCTCGCAAGCATTACACTTGACTGAGGTGGAGTTGCGGTGTAGTCGTCTCTGGCATACACAGCAGGTATAGGTTTCTGGCCCTGGGTTTGACTCGATGCCAGCCCTTAACAGATGAATACGTAGCAAATGTAGCCCTATGGACGAACAGCTTCTGAGACACTTCGCCGACCATAACGGGGTTAGATCGCCGAAACAACAGCCCCTGGTCGGGTAAAACCCGAGTCATTCCGGTACGTAGAACCGGCTGTCGTGGGAATGTCTAGGATGGTATCCCTGCAATCGATGTCTGCTTCGATAAGACGATACTGCACGGTGTTGTGCGTGATTTACGCTAGGCCTCCACCATTATCTCGCTAACGATCTCGACGGTGCACATTGTATCCGGCGCAACTCAACATTGTTGAATTGCCGTGCAGCTTCGCTATTAATATTCCGTGCCGACCCATGAAGACCGTTATCTCCTTGACCTTGCTCTGAAGTCCATTACAGTGGAATTGTAGAAAGACTGATTGTGTAAAGACTGATTTGAATGTGGGGTGTTAGTGATGTGTGTTGCCGTGCCGCCACATGCTGTGCTTGCTGCTGCTGAGGCTGTTGCCCTGTGGTGTTAGTGGTCGGCATCGCAGCTGGGGGTTGCGACCGAGCAGCGCAGCATGGGCCCTCATAGTCCCTCTTCTAGTCTCGCGTGGTGCGCAGTCTTGAGCATGCCTTAAAGTGACACCAGCAAAGGCAGGTGTTGCACTTGACTGATGTCACATTACGGAATATCCTGGACTGGCATACCGTGCAGATTGTCGGAGGTGGTGGTGCAGTTGTACCTGTGGTGTGGTCTGTTGTGTCTGTGGTATTGTCTCTTGTATTGTGTTGTGGTGCGGTTGTGTTTGTGTTGAGTTGCTCAGGCGGACTCTGTTGTGCCGTGGAGGCAACTCGATTGGCGCAGCAAGGGGCCACGTACGCAGTGCACCATTACCTGTGAGTAGTGAGGCCTGAGCAAACTCGGAGATGGCTCCACCCATAGCATGTATTGCATCTGACGGAAGTGGAGTTGTGTAATCGTCTCTGGCACACGCAGCATTTATATGTTTCTGGTCCAGGATTTGACTCAATGCCAGCCCTGAGCAGAAGTATGCGAAGAAGATGATTAGCTTGACCTTGGTTTGTCGGTCCAAACAGGAATCTATATTTACGGTTGATGGATAGCTCGTTTCCAATGGATGGTGGTGGTTGGTTGTAATTCCGTTCTTGCGAGGGCTGATGAGTGTGGTTCGCTCCGTGTCCAATTCCAAAAAGAAAGATATTTTTCTAGCCTCGTGGTATGTGACCACCGATTCTTTTATCGTATGTCAGTGTGGGCGTTTTCATAGTGGCCATGTCAATTCGTGTCTATACCGATATGCTGGTTCGTGTCTTGAATAACTATTGGTTACGTACATTCATCTGGCAATCCCCTACATTTTGAAGTTTAGCTTTGACCGTTTTGTTATGTTTACATTTATAATCGTTCTTATGTCTATTATTTGGGCAATAAAAAATAATAGATCAAAGAAGTAGCCCTATGGACGTACAACTTTTAAGGGATTTCGCCGACCTAAACGGGGTTAGATCGCCGAACAGCCCTTGGTCGGGTAAAACCCTAATCANATAGTCTCCTATGCTGACGATTATTCGATCATGGCGTCTGGGAATGGAATTGATGACTTGTGCTCGAAAGTAAACCGTTACANGGCGTCTGGGAATGGAATTGATGACTTGTGCTCGAAAGTAAACGGTTACATCTCCGAATTTTCTCGCTTCTTCACTANACGGGGTTAGATCGCCGAACAGCCCTTGGTCGGGTAAAACCCTAATCATTTCGACATGTAGAACCGGCTGTCGTGGGAATGCTCTGCAAAAGGTGTTGAGCCCCTCTTCGGCACCACAGAAAGGAGAATTCTATTTAGTGAGGGTTATAATCCTTTCTTCCTCCGCCACCCCGCCACCATCAAAAAATCGTTGTACAAATANGCAGCACTTGGGGCAAAGATAAAGAAACGTTGTTGGCAGCATACAAGGCAATTGGCCGGCCGGTTCTAAACANATTTCGACATGTAGAACCGGCTGTCGTGGGAATGCTCTGCAAAAGGTGTTCAGCCCCTCTTCGGCACCACAGAAAGGAGAATTCTATTTAGTGAGGGTTATAATCCTTTCTCCCTCCGCCACCCCGCCACCATCAAAAAATCGTTGTACAAATAAGCAAACATTTCGCAAATCAATACTTCGAATGCGACTCTTTTCTATGTAAAACAGTATTTCATTATAAAGTGAAAATTTTCAATAAAAAACCCGCGACTTTTTTACACTATTCTTGTATTCCTAATACAGTTGGTTCACGGTCCGAATTACCCTAATTTTGTTGGGTTCTTTATACTCGATGCACGTTGCTGCAAGTGTTGTAAGGGGAAAATTTTAGGATGGTAACCCCGGGAGTATGGGATTAAGGAAAATAGGGGGGGTAGAGAGGGGTCTAATAGTTGCCTATGTAAAATTTCAAAGAGCGAAACCTTATAGTTTTTAAGTAATTTGTTGTTAAAATTTGTAAATTTAACAAACTTGTATGGCACTATGTTTATTACTATTTATTTAAATCTGAACAAAACTAGAACTATTTATTTAAATCTGAACAAAAGAACCTTATGGTATTTTCCTTATAACCGTATTTTCTGTTGATCCTACTTTCACGTTTGGTTTTTAGATGTGGCAACACAGTCCTGCAAAAATATTNACCGCCCCGAACGGGGCTTAGTAGCCGCTACAACAACAACAACCAGGCTATACATAGTAAATTTTTTATGTAAAATAGGGTGCATTCCAAAACGTCAAAATACAAAGCATCAGTCTCTTTTATTTCTAAACCTGATCAGATTGTTATGCCAATTGTGCGCAACCATGGTTAGATGCTAATTTTCAACTGGGTTGCGCAAGCTGGACTTTTTCTCCTAGTGCGGTTTAGAAATAAAAGTGACTGATGCTTTGTATTTTGACGTTTCGGAATGCAGCCATACTTCCAGATAGTTGCTTCTCCTTACTCAAATGCAATGTAGTTAAAATATATTAAGGAACCATCATAAAATTAGGACTATTTTGGGATTTTTAACTTTTTGATATTTTCTTCCCCAACTTTGACTATCTATGGGTGACAAAAATGTACTGAGCTATAACTTTACATTACATAAAAAAATTGCTTATTTAATAAAGATTTCAGAAAGGTGCTACTCTTACTGTTTCGAATAGAAAAAAAAGTTATAGCCGCTTTTGTGGGCAAAGGACTGAGACACGCTAGAATGTATTTAATAGATTTAAATTTAAGTAGCTCTTGTTACCGGCCAATGACATGCTAAATAGTACAAATGTACATTGTTACCAGCTCCTGACATTAATTTATGGTACTTACCGGAATTAGTGAAAGTGGATTTTGTGAAATTGGACCCTTCGAACATTGTGTTATTAATACTATGACAGAGAACACGCAGTATACGTCGCATGAATATGCGGATATTCACCTAATTTACGGTGAAGCTTGCTGTAATGCCAGAGCTGCTCAAAGACTCTATGCAGAGCGATACCCCAATCGTCGACATCCGGGTCGAGAAGTATTCGCCCGGACCCATAGAGAAATATATGAAGGTAAGTGATTTTTACACCTTTCTTGTTTGCTTGCTTGTTAACAATCATTTTTCACTTTTTTAAGGTCGCATGCCTAGAAGGCGTGGCGGCGAAACAGGTAGTCCTGCAACGGTAGATGTTGAAGTTGTGTTAGAGGAAGTGGAACTAGGTCCATCGACTTCAGTGAGAATGATGGAGACGGACGGGAATACCAAAAACACTACAGTTCACAAAGCTTTAAAAGACCATCGATTTCATCCCTACCACATTCAACGTGTTCAGGCTCTACAGGAAAGAGATTACCTGTCGAGGGTTAGATTTTGCCGTGAAATGTTGCGAATGCATGAATCAGACCCCAACTTTTTTAATAAAATAATTTGGAGCGATGAATCATCATGCAAACGTGATGGTTATTTTAATTTGCATAACCTTCACAGTTGGCAGATAGAGAATCCTCACGAAATGAGAGAAGATCGTTCGCAGTACCTTCTTCTTCTTTTTTGGCGCAGTAACCGCCTAAGCGATTCNAAGTACCTGGGTATATATATAGATAATAAACTTAAATTTGATGAGCATGTTGAGCATACAGTGAACAAAATTGCGAAAAAAATTGGTCTTATGAAAAGATCTTGTAAGTATCTGAGAAGAAGGTATAAAACCCTGGTCTATAGATCTATAGTAGAACCACATTTTATATACTGCCCAACAATCTTCTTCTTAGCAAGCGACGCAAATATCGAGAAATTGCAAAAAATGCAAAATAGAGCTATGAGGTTCATATTAAATAAGCGTTACGATACACTTACGCAGGAGATGATCACAGATATGAATAGGTTGAGTGTTAGGCAACAGGTTTTCTATCATGCTATGAAATTCGTATACAACATAAAGAACGGTAAACTTCCAGACCATCTGAGCGACAATCTTCGGTATATAAATGAAGCTCATTCATATATACTCAGAGAAAACAATTGCTTTAGACTCCCACTTTATAGAACAGAGGTAGACAAAAAAACTATATTTTATAAAGGTTTAAAGTGTTTTAATGAGTTACAGCCACATGTAAAAGACTGTGCTAACTTTGCTGTTTTTAAAAGACAACTATTTGATCACTGTAAAACACTGGCTATTAGGTAGGAAAGCACGGAACGGAATGGAAACCAGGCCTTTCCATCCGACCAAGCAGCAAATGATCTAGCATACGAAAGACGCTGTGAGTATGGATCGGAAACTCGGTCTTTCCGACTATGCCCAACAGCCCGCCCATAACGCGGAGCGGAAACTAGGCATTTCCGCCCGCCTCACATCACGGAATCCAGCGTCAGGGTTTGCATATTAATGACGGGAACATGGATCANACCAGGCCTTTCCATCCGACCAAGCAGCAAATGATCTAGCATACGAAAGACGCTGTGAGTATGGATCGGAAACTCGGTCTTTCCGACTATGCCCAACAGCCCGCCCATAACGCGGAGCGGAAACTAGGCATTTCCGCCCGCCTCACATCACGGAATCCAGCGTCAGGGTTTGGATATTAATGACGACGGGAACATGGATCGGAAACTCGGCCTTTCCGACCGTGACTATCAACTCGTGAGCAACGCGGAGCGGAAACAAGGTCTTTCCGCCCGCTGCACATAGTACATATGTAAAGGTAGACTGGAGGCTAGNATAACGCGGAGCGGAAACTAGGCATTTCCGCCCGCCTCACATCACGGAATCCAGCGTCAGGGTTTGGATATTAATGACGACGGGAACATGGATCGGAAACTCGGTCTTTCCGACCGTGACTATCAACTCGTGAGCAACGCGGAGCGGAAACAAGGTCTTTCCGCCCGCTGCACATAGTACATATGTAAAGGTAGACTGGAGGCTAGGTCTCGCCAGCTACCCAACTAGTTAGACAATATACATTTATATAGGTTATTTGATAGTTTTAGAAACATAAACAGCATGTAATTGAAAATTTAAACTTACATATACGCATACTTTGTTATATATCAAAAATATCTATCTGCACTTTTAAGTCGCAAGACTGTAACAAATAAATAAATAAAACTGACGCCAATTGGAAATGCCAAGTAAAGCCAAGTCCTTCTCGGCCTCCCTCTTCCTCTGCTACCACCAGCGGGTTCCGAGTTGAATACTTTCAGAGCTGGAGCGTCGGTGTCCATTCGAACGACATGGCCAAGCCAGCGGAGCCGCTGTATTTTAATTCGCTGCACTATGTCCGTGCCGTTGATTAGCTCATATCTAATCGTTCCATCGTCTGCGGTACTCGCCGTCGCCAACGCGTGAAGGCCCGTAAATCTACCGCAAAATCTTTCTCTCAAAAACTCCAAGAGCCGCCTCATCGGATGTTGTCATTGTCCATGCTTCTGCGTCATATACCAGCACGGGCATGAGTGACTTATAGAGCGTGGTTTTCGTACATCGAGATAGGCCTTTACTCCTGAATTGCCCACAGTCCAAAGTAGCACTTGTTGGCAAGACTGATTCTGCGTTGGATTTCAATGCTGACAATATTATCGGTGTTAATGCTGGTTCCCAAGTAAACGAAATTCTTTCGAAATTGTAACTGTCAACAGTGACGTAGGTGACAAGGCGNGCTGACAATATTATCGGTGTTAATGCTGGTTCCCAAGTAAACGAAATTCTTTCGAAATTGTAACTGTCAACAGTGACGTAGGTGACAAGGCACGAATGTGCTGACTGTTTATTTGATGACAAGAGATACTTCGTTTTGTCCTCGTTTACCACCAGACCCATTCGCTTTGCTTCCCTATCCAACTTGGAAAAGGCAGAACAGACTTCGCGGTTTTTGTTACCG